CTCCCTCTGTCTGCTGCTCCCCCGGCTTGTGCTCTCTCTCTCTCTCAAATAAATAAGCAAAATCTTAAAAAAAAAAAAAAAAAAAAGAAAAGAAAAGAAAAGAAAGGAACCACTCAGTTGAAATGTCTCTGGATGGGCAGTGAAGTGGGGAAAGTCAGGCTCAGGGCGCAGAAAGGGAGAGGAATTTCTCCGCTGGCTCCATCCCTTTCCTCTCTCTTGTGAGTCACAGCTCCATCTCTGGATGAATGTCCTGGTGACAGCCCGTGGTCCCTCACGTAGCCCCATGGGGAAGTTAGACCCCACACTTGCAACATGGAGCGTCACCTGCGCTGGAAGTGGCAGAGGCAAAGGGCCTCGGTGTAGGAAGCACAGGGCTAACTGAGACCGCAGTAAGAGACCCACAGAATGAGAAAAAGATGAGGCAGAGATTGTCCAAAAAGCCTCAGAAAATGTGTTGGATACTAATCATATGAACATCTATGAACCAACCCCTGGAAATAAACAATGCTAATAATGAGTCATATTTACTTCTGCATTTTTTTAAAGATTTATTTCTTTATTTTAGAGAAAGAAAGAGAGAGAGCAAGAGTGGAAGGGGCCCAGGGAAAGGGAGAGAGACTCTCAAGCAGCCTCCTCGCTGAGCGTGGAGCCTGATGCAGGGCTTGATCTCACCACCCTGGAATCACTACCTGAGCCGAAATAAGAGTCAGACACTTAACTGACTATGCCACTCAGGAACCCCTACTTCCACAGTTTTAAAAGCATAAAGTATCTCAGATATTTAGCTGAAGTTCTCTTGTCCCAGGCATTATTCTCCTCTCTTTCCCCTAAGAGCCAACTTCTAATGCACTTAATGTGTATCCTTCCCATCCATGTTTTTTACATATATTTAGTTATGTCTATATTATAAATTACATATAAAATTGTTTCGGTATCGCACAGTATTGCATTTCTTAGTTGCATCTAGGTTGATAGCCACAGATGTAATTCTGCAGACTGCTTTCACAGTCTGCAGCTGTAATATGTTCCGATTACATAATATGAACGTACCAAAATATATTTATCCTTTGACCTATTAATAGACATTCAGGCTGTTAGCAGTTTTCCCTACTTAAAAAATGCTCAGTGACCATTATCAAAAACATCTCTGGAACTTACATCTAAAAGCACACTTGCTGGATTGTAAGGTATTTGTATTTTCCACTTTGTACAGTATTGCCAAATTGCTCTCCAACGTGCCTAAAACAATTTCCCTCTCACAAGCAATGGTCCTGTTGCTCCTTGTTCCCACCCCCACCCTTGTTAGACTTTAAAAATTCTTGTCGAATTTATGGGTGTGAATTTTGTCTCATTGTTTTCATTGGTACTTCCTTGATCGTGAGTAAGTTTGTGCATATTTGCTTGTTGACTGACCATTTGGATTTCCTTTTAGGTGAACTGTCAAGGTCATATCCTTTGGCTGGTTTTCTGTTAGGTTGTTCACCTTTTTCTTACTGGATTTGCGAGGGTTCTTTATAAATTCTAGATGCTAATTTGTGTCTGTTAAGCATGTGTGTCAGACACTTTACGTACATTACCCTGTTTGATCCTCACATCAACCATCCGAAGAACACAGTCTCAGGAAGGTTGAACAGTTTTCCTGGTAACAGGAAACAGACAGTAACAAACAGATCTGGAGTCAAACTCAGGTCATCCTGGCTCCAAAGTCCACCTTTGTCAAAGCTGCACACACTTCTTTTAAGTCAAGCTGAAGAATCTCTCATGATATGTCCAGGGTTCAAAGAAAGTCAGAACAGTTTCAAATTAGGTAAAATGGTTAGTGGTGATGGTTGTTGCCATGGCCGAACAGAGGGCAAAGAAATGTAGAACAAAATAAGCCACATTTGTGGTAAGAATAAAATTAAACCAACAAGCCAGGGCTTTGGCTTCAAATCCAGAGTCTGTTGCCTTAGGAAGTCACTTCCCATCTCTGGACCTCAGTTTGCCCGTCAGTGAAATGGAATAACTGTCCTCTATCCCAGGGCCGTGTGAGGCTCTGGTGTGCCTGGTACATAGCAGGTGATCCATAACAGTGCATTCCTAGCCCCTCCCCCCTATTTAGGAGAGAGGTTTATTCTGAATTCTGTTCTGCAGTCTTCAGGAAGAACTTGTGGTGAAATTGTTAAGCAGGGTTGTGAATGTGAACGCAATCCCAAACTCACTGCTGCTGACGTTGGAGTGTTTTTCTCAGCTTCTTCCCGACTCAAGGTCAATTATTGGTGAGTCTCGTATTAACTCACACTTTGCTATCGACAGAACTAAACTAATAAGGAGCAGAAGAGCTCATTCAGCCTTCTCGTCTGCTGCATTATAAATCAACAGGTCAGTGGCCACTGTGGGTCCAATTGGCAGCCACAGCCTGCTCATGCTGTTGGGGAGTTAGCCGACACTTTAGGAGCTCACCTTGATTCAGTGGCACTCCGCTGGTTGTACCTGGGTGTCAGGTACCCCTGTAATGCAGAGTACGAAGAACCTTCCACCTGCAGCCTGGCTTCATCTCCGGCGAGATGGTCCCAGACACTTCAGACCAGCATCTCCCAGTCTGCTCAAGAGGCCCCTCCACAACAACTCCACATCTTAGCGAGCCCCAAACAGGAGAGGCACCCCTAGTATCTTATCAATCCCTGGAGATTCTCATCATGCCTTGTAAGGAAGCACTCTATCACAACACATGTAAGTACAAGTTAAGGAGTTAAGGCACTTAGGTTCAAACCCCAGCTCTGCCATCAGTCAGCTGCGGGATCCTGAGGTCACTTTTATGAAAAGTGACCATCTCTCTAAGCAAGGCTTTTCTCATCTGTAAAGTGAGGGTAATAACCGATCCTACGTTGTAGGAGTATCCAAGAGATCAAATGTGGTCATGGAAACTTAGCACAAGGCCTGGCATAGAATAAGCACTTGATTGATACTAAAAATTATTATCCCACATGCCCCCTCCATGCCATAAATGCTGCTATTCTAGAAAGATCCGCAATCTCATCTCTGGGCTGCTGTCACCTAACAGATCTCCCAGCCCCCACTCTCAATTCATCCCTCTGAAAGCCATCAGAGCCATCTTGTCAACTCATTATTCTTCTTAAAACCCTGAAGGGGCTCCAGGGCACGTGGATCGCTCAGTTGGTTAAGCATCCGACTCTCGATTTTGGCTCAGGTCATGATCTCAGGGTCGTGAGATCGAGCCCTGTGTTGGTCTCTGCATTCAGTGGGGAGTCTGCTTGGGGTTCTGTCTCTTTCTCTGCCTCTCTCTCCCACCCCCCGCTTGTTCTCTCTTTCTCTCTAAAAATAAATGAATAAATCTTTAAAAAAAAAAAAAACCTCTGAGAAGCTAAAAATTCAACCTGTTTCTCAAGGACTCCACATGTCTCCCTGGTCTGGCCCCCGTGACTCCTTCAATCTTTCTTCCTACAGCTCCAAAGACCACCACATATACATCCTGTGTTCTGGCCATGGGAAGCCATGCCGTTTACCTACCCAGTGAGCGTCTGCACACACCCCTGCTGGGCGCACCCATCCCCCTGACTATTTCCAACCCATCCCTCTCAAGGTCCAACTCAAAGACAGTAAAGCCCTCTCTGATCATCCTTCATTTTCTAATCTGTGCACATCATCTTTTATCATTGCACTTCTCCCTCTGTGTTGCAAGCATTGATTTTCATGTCTTCCTCTTCCATTAAAGTAGGAGCTTTTGAGGGCAAGGACCACTACTCATGCTTGAATTTTGGCACTTAGTAGAGTATCTGGCAGCAGATGTCCAATTAAAAATTTGTTGAGTGAAACATCAAATAAATGACTGACTGAAAGAAGCATTAGCTCCTGGGGAATCATCTTATACCATTGAATCACAGCAAGCTAAGTGTCATCTCTCCACAACCTCTATGATTATTACTCACCATCACCCTGAAACCAAGTGTTCTCCATCCCATAAGCACTTATGTGTCCCACCTTTGCTAGGCCCTACAACTTCACAGATGAATAAGACATTATTTTCATCATCAAGGATCTCAGGGGCAAGCAATTACAAGTAAGTGCATATAGGAGGGCACAGTAGCTTCTGAGAAAGTCATCACTGAGATGTAGATTGACAGCCTGGCTACACCATTCACTAGATCGGTGAACTAGAATGAGTCGTTGAACAACTGAGCCTCAGTTTCTTCTTTCCTGGAATAGGGCTAATAGTGTCTTAATCATTGATATGACAATTAAAGAGGAACATGTACGTAAAGTGTTATTACAGGTATGGCATAAGATCAGCACTTAGCAAATGTAGTCATTAGCATGACAACAGAATAAAGCATCATTCAAACTGGCTGGTTTATTTTGAGTTTCAGAAGGGGAAATGGGAACTAATAGCTAAACTAAGAATTTGGCATCAGGTGCACAAATGGCCAAAGCTCTGAACTTAGTGCTTGAGATGTGAATGCGCATCCTGGCTCTGATAGGAATCAGCTGTGTGAACTTGGGCAAGTAGCTTCTCCCTGGTCCTCGATCTTAAATCTATAAAATCAAAGCCATGCAAGGGATATTACATTATCTATTGTACACATAGTATGGAACAGAATGGATCCACCCAACTTGCATTATAAGGTATTTAATCACATGGTATTATTTTCATAATACATACTAAGTACAGAAGTAGGTTTCAAAAATAGTATGAACCATACAGTCCTAAATTTGTAAACATATTTTTGCATGGAAGAAAAGGAAATGACATTTAGTTGGCTCCAAAATATTTTTTAAAGGTTTATTTATTTATTGAAGAGAGAGAGAGGATGACCTGGAGGAGGGACACAAGGAGAGGGAAAGAAATCCTCAAGCAGACTCCCCCTGAGTGTGGAGCCTGATGCAAGGCTGGATCGCAGGACCCTGAGATCATGACCTGAGCCAAAATCAAGAGTCGGACGCTCAACCAACTGAGCCACCCAGGCGCCCCTAGTTAACTCCAAAATATTAACCATTGTTTTCTCTGGGTGGTAGGCGTAAGGACAATTTCTGTTTTCTAATTTGTGAATTTGTATTAGCTTCCAAATTTACCACAATTAGCATAAATACTTCTGTAATGGGTAACACTCAAATTAAACATTAATTTTTGTGAGACACCAGATAAGATGCTCTCTAAAGACTGTTATAGCCCTCGAGAATTGGCATTATTCTACATGTGTTTTTACTTAATTATGTGCCTTTATATTAGCATAGGGAGATGGTTGTATTAATTCTGTGATTTTATTACTATAAATAAATTAATTCAAAATATCACTGGATTTAAGTCTGTGCCACCCAGTATCAAACAAAGTGTTATAATTTCATATACATTTTGGTCATTTAGCTCTCTTGGAAGTTCTTCAAAAAATCACAGAAGCTACCAGAAAAAAAAAAATTCCTTCTAAATTCAAATGACAGTTCTTTTTTGATGTTCCTTGGCCTGGCTGACTTTCTATGCATATTTTGCAATCTTGACTCCGGCCATAATATTTCCAGGTGAAATAGAGCTCAAAGACTAAGAAACCATTCATAACAATTTTCTTGTACTTTTTTTCTGATCTAGCTAGCTCTTTATTTTTGGTCAACCACTGCTTTCCAGAGGTATTTGTGTTTTCCCTTGAAAGTGTGTTGCAAGTGATACATTGCTGGCCTTCCAAAAGTCTTCTATGTCACAAAGAAAAGGATGTCAGAAGTGCCTGGGAGAGCCGGAGTTCCGTGAGGGCACACTCAGGAGGAGTTAAATGCAGGGTGTCTCCCATTCTATGAAGCTGTGTGAAGGAGGGAATTGTTTCAAGCATCCCCAACAGGAGCAAGAACAAGCACTAGCAGCTTTTCAACCAGCTAGCTTAAGCAAGATACATGACCCATAATCTATAGAGCCTGTCCTATCTTTTCCTCCTGAAGTCTTACCACCCTTGAAGACTCAGCTCCCGTGTTCCCTGAATATCCATCCTGGGTTACTTTCTCCTTCCATGTATTCCCATGGCAACAACGACGTATTTTTACGATGGAGTGCATTGTGTTATGAACTTACCTATCCGTTTGGTTCTCTCCTTTCCTGGACTGTTTTGAGGGCAAAGACAATGTGGCTTCTTCATTTTCTGTATCCCAGCATGTGCCTAGCACACAGTAGTGCTCAGTAATTATGTGCTTTACTGGGGCTATAGACAACAGACACAATAAAGAGTACCATCTATTATTAGCATCTTATCTCCAAGGAAAAGCAGATGGAACTAGGAATTCACAAATCTGAATCTTGTGCCAGCCTGCAGACATCCTGGTCCCTGGGTCCCTGTATGCCCAAGAGCTCCCCAAGAGAAAGCACATTTCTGTTCCTGAGTTCTTGTTCTAGCTGCAGATCTGGACTGGGCCTGCCTGGATCAGCTGGGAGCGTCTTCGACAAAAAGCTAGATGAGAAGCTGGTCTTGGCAACGGGGTTCATGCCCCCATTTCCTGAGCCCAGTGCTACTCCTGCTCATCTCCCATGAGGAGAGAAAAGAGAAGGCTGGAGACCACCTGGGTGCAGCCATATCAATGTTCACTCTCCCCCCTCCCTCTACACACCGCATCTCCTCTTTGATGGCCCCTTGTGTCCTGAAGCCTCATCAGAGTTAGGTCACTAGTGAGTATATGTGTGCTTGTGGTTGGGAGGCAATAAAACAGAGAGTGACGTGATCCGGTTTTAGTGACACAGAACATTCCAGCGACCATGTTGGAAATAGATGGTGGAGGGCAATAAAGGGGGCTATTGAAAGTCATGGTGGCTAGACTCAGGTGTCACAGGTAGAGATGGAGCGAGTGGAGGGACTGGGGATGTATTTGGGTGGAAGAGCAGACAGGATTTGGATATTGGGGTGGTGAGGGCTGACTCCTAGGTTTGCTTTTGTATTTGGCTCAAGTACTGGGGTGAGTGGATGAGGGGGGCGATCTCAAGTGAGATGGAGAAAGGTGGAGGAAGAATAAGAGGTAATGGAAAGCAAGTCCCACCGTCCCTACAGACAATTTGTCTAAAGCATTTTTATTCTGAGAAGCCTGTCAAGGGGACTGTTTATTGCCACAAATCGCCTGTGTCCATATACAAAGTCCAATGTTGCTTCCTCCAAACCCTTTGCCTCCTGGCCTAGCTTGTTCTGAGAAAGGCTTTGTGCTGGGCTGAAATGAGAGAAAACATTCGGAATCAAACAAGGGTCTCCCTGGAACTTCTGAATTCCTTGGATGACTGAAAGTCACATCAGTGTTTAAATACACACTTACCCATCTTCAGCTGCCTTCCAGCTTGGTCTCTGGAAGAGCCCAGGACAGGCCAGACCAGCAGCACCTCAGCTTGTACCCCAGCAAGGACTGTGAATGGAGCATTGAGGAGGGAGGGGGTGTCAGTTCAGGAGGAGATGATGCACAGAGAACAGAGTCTTTATTAAAAGATGTAAGAATTAAAATGTGGATTATAACAGTGCCTGACTCATGGAATTGATATAAGAATTTTAAAAAATTGATAGAATTAAAATAGTGTCCAACTCATAGAATTGATTTAAGAATCTAAGTGAAAGCAGTTAGAACAGAGACAGCCATATCATCAGCACCATGTACCTGTCCCTTAAATAGAATAACATCTAAAGGAAAAGGAAAAGATCCTGGTCTTCGCATGGATTTTTGTGATGAGAAAGTTTCAAAGCTCTTTGAAGTCCGGAAGAGTTCTGCAAAGGGAAAACATTTTTCTCCATGTGAGGGCATTGTCGAGATGCTAGACTCTAGATTCATCCACCAGGTGTGACCAAAGTGACCTCATACCCTGGAGAATCAACTGATTTCTGAATTAGCCTATATGGAAACCCTCAGACAGCAGCCCATATCACCTAGTGGGTGCTCAAGAAATATTCCGTCCTTTCTGTTTATCCCGCTCCTTTCTGAACCTGGTCTCCTACTGAGTCTCTTTGGGGTCCCTCCATGGTTGTAAATTCACCCCACTTGCCTTTCTTCTTCCAACAGAGATTTCCTGGGGACAAAAGAGGCATCATTGCTGCTGATGGCCATGTTCCTCCTTGCTGTGTTCTACCATGGACAGCAGGTAATTTAACACTTTGCTCAAACTCCCCTCTGCTACCTGGCGTTTCCCATTGCCATGAAACTGACCTACAAGGCTTCTGCTCTTCCTTGTAGCAAATGACCCATCAGCTGCTTACAAGAAGTGGTGATTCTTAATGAATCGATTCCTAATAAAGATCACCTAATTAAAAAAACTAAGCTGGAGATGATGATTTGGCAAGCCAGGTGGTTTTTATGTCTTTCAGGTATATCTCTTTCAAAGAGATCATTGCTATGAAAAAAAAAAAAAAAACTTTCAATTTCTGCCTGAGGTAAACCGGGATCTCTCCCAGTTCCATTATTGCCTGCATAAAGGCATTCCTGGAGAAGTTGTGTGCTGGTCTAGGGAACCATGCAGGTGTGAGGATCAGTTGAGCCAGGGTCTTAATCCAGCCTCTGACTCTCAGTTTGTGGCCTTAAGCAAGTCGCTCATCTCCCTGAACCTAGAGGTCTTCCTCAGGTGTGAAATAGGATAATAACACCTGGATGGGTCCATTTTGAAGAATCATTTGAGATTATCATGTGCAGCATTTTGCACACTGCCTCACATAAGTATAGGAAATGCTTCATTCCTTATTTGTCTCAAGCAGATAAAGTGCCTAAAGTATATCGATGCCATTTCCCTATGAGCCACTACTCTGCTGGGATCTGGGGAGGGTACTGTGGCTAGCTCTGTATAAAACCCCATTCCTGGTTCCAAGGGTTCCAATCTCCTGGAGGAGAGCAGACCCTAAATAATGCAATGAGGGACCTGCTATGTGCAGATCAGGCTGTCCAAGGACTTCAAGAGTTGGAGGGGCAAGAATTTATTCTGCATGGGAGCGTGATACCAGGCTTCACCCAGGGGATTTACCTGCTGTGGCCAGTAGGACATCTGCATGTGGACTCAGACCATGAACGTTGTGGTGTTCATCAACTGGGGAGATTTTCTCTCCCCGGTAGAGCCAGGTCCTGCCAATATTCTCTGCCCTGCCCTGGATCCCTGTCCATCTTTCTTTGGTCTGCATGCACTTCAAAAAAAGTAACCAGGAAAGGAGAAAAACAAAACAGGAAGACTCTCAGCTAGAGCAGAAATAGAAACATAGCGCTGAGAAATCACCATGGAAACGCGGAGGTAATCAACCCTGAGAAACCCTGAAACAGCCCCAAACCCCGAGAACCTAGAGATACATACGAAGTGATGTGTAATAAGGGGGATAGTAACATGTAGTCAAGGGGGGAGAAAGACAAGTATAAAGACCTGATAAGGAGGAAGGGTTAGTGTGTATCAAGTTCCTACTCTGTGCCTCTATTATCTGTATCATCCTCCCAACAACGCGGAATGGTAGTTATTAGCAGTCCTGTTTCACAGATGAAGAAAGTCATGCTACTCATCTAGTCGGGGGGTGGGAGGAACCAGATTCAAACCCAGATCTTTCTCCAAAGCCCACCCTTTCCACTTCTCTAAACTGGAGAAAGAAAGAAGTTATCATACCAACAAAATGGCCCCCGGCACTCAGTCTTGCAGTGTGACTTTGATTTGGTTTTAAATTTGACCTGAAATCATGGCAAAATAATAAGCCAAATATCAAAATCTAGCCATTTCCAGAATTCCTATATTTAGGTATTTCTGGCTATCTGTCAGAGCTGGGGTCGTATCTTCCATGTCTTGATGGCTTCTGGTTACAGAGGAGAACTCCTTAGTCTGACACGCAAACAGCAATCCATCTGAGGGCTGTGAAGATGGAATCAGACAAGGCAATCCTACAGAGAAACATACCCCCCCACCCCCCATGTTTGAAACTGAGGAATGAGCAAACCCCCCTGAGATAACCAAGAAAGAGCAAATTCAGAGTGAGGGGCTCATTCCACAATAGGAAGGATGCTCCTTTCTCCTCTGTCACCTTACGGAAGTATTTTGTGCCCTGGCAATGCCCCTTCCTCAATACCCTTTTAACATTCTGATTCAATTCGTTCTATGCCCCGTTTGTCCTGGGAAACAGACAACCTAACCGTGTTAAGATTATGTGTAAATATGAGTATACTTGTGCATAGTGAGGATCCGAGTGCTTAAGTGACATCTGTTATGGCTCCTTCTTATTTTTAACTTTCAAAAGGCTCTAAAATTACATAATCACATCCTATAATGGTAGCAGTTTCAGGTCTATAGGCTTTGGAGTGGGGAAAAAGTATTCAAGCTCCAATTCTGCCACTTAGTGGCTATGCGACCTTCAGCAATTTACTTAACTTTCTGAGTCCCAGTTTTCTCGCCTATAAAATGGGTGTGCTAACAGGTTCTACTTCATAGGGCTGTTATAAGATTATACAAGAATATAATTGTAATATACTAATCCCAGTGGTTTGCACATAGAATATGTTTTCAAAAATCCTAAGCTATGGATGCTTTACTTTGAAAACAGGCCTCTGAGACATACAGGGAAAGTATTATTATGCATCTGGTCCCAAGTCACCGAGGTCTTAAAGCCAACAAGGAACACCAGGTAGAAACAGGAATCCAAAACTTCCGGGTCTATTCTCTCCCCACTGAGTGCCCCTGTCTCTCTTTGCGAGAGGGGTCTTTCTGCCTCACCTGCATCACTTCTGTGTCCTCTGTCTACCGCACCTGTCAGGCTCCTGTTTCTCTGAACCCAAGTCTGCCTACCCCTGGGTCTGCTACCTGCTTCCACCAGTTTCTCTTTTTGGGACTCAGAGCCCTCAATTTTTTTAAAGGTTGAATAGTGCCCTTCGATGCCTGGTACACAGCAGCAGCCTGATGGGAGCATGTGTAATGAGACATGTCCAGAGGGACAGAGGGACTTAAGTAACTGAACACTTGGGAAATTTCATCTTGTCCATATGCTGAAGGTCTATGCCGTTCCTTCCTCCTCCTCCAAGGCAGGTGAACATTCTAAACGGTGGGGAGACAGAGAGCAGTCAGGTGCCTGCCGCCTCACCTGGTTCACTTGCAGCCCTGAGGTGTGGGCTTGGCCTCAGGGGGCAGAGGAAGCCATCTCTGCACACAAGGACAGAGATTAATGAGGTCTCCAGTCACTTACTTCCGGGTCAGATAAAGATAGGCCCCGGGACTATGTGGCTTAGAAGGAAAGACCCAAGCATTGGAACCAAGTATTCTTTTTTTTTGAGAGAGAGAGCACATGGGGCAGGGAGAGGGAGAGAGAGAATCCCAATCAGGCTCCACACCCATTGCGGAGCCCCATGTGGGGCTCCATCTCATGACCTTGAGATCATGACCTGAGCTGGAGTCAAGAGTCAGATGCTTAACCGACTGAGCCACCCAGGTGCCCCTGGAACCAACTGGGAGGATGGGTGACATTGAGAAACTCAAGCCCCTCAAGCTGACATTCCTCTACCTATAAAATGAGAAGGATAATAGTTCCCTGCGAGGAGTTGGAGAATGGCTCCATGAGGCCAAATACATATAGAGCAGGGGTTAAGTCACAGCTTGGCGTCAGAATGTCCTGAGTTCAAAGCCTGTCTCTATTTGTGAGCCCTTGGGCAATTGACTTTGTCTTACTGTGACTCCATTTCCTCACCTGTGAAATGGAAATAATAAAGTACCCACCTTCTTGAGTCGTGTGACTAAATGAGCTTCGGTATATAGGAAGTGCTTAAAATAGTGCCTGGTCCAGGGCAAGAGCCGGGCCAGTGTTAGCTCTCATTCTGTGCTAAGAGCCTGGCACAAAGCTTCTGAACAGTAAGTGTTGGTTCCTTGGTACTCTTCTCATAGAGCCAGTTCCCTAATAGTCTGGTGAAAATCAAGAAAGAGATTGCACTTCCAAATCCATTGACAGTTCTTGAGCAATTGCTGAAGAATTTTCACTTTTAAAGCTTCTCTGTGCCTTCTGTGTGCTTTGCCTTGCTGTCCACGCCTGCTCTAACCAGTGTGTTGAAATGTTCTCTTTCCTTAACATGTTCCTCTGTCTTTCATTTTTCTCCCTTCACCACTGAGCTGAGAGCAAATCAAAGGCAGACACTGAATTTCACGCATCTTTGTATGCCGAGCACCGTGCACATAGTAGGTGCACAATACACTAGATCTTAGTAAACTGGAAAGGCTTACTTTCCTCCCCCAGAGATTAAATAAGCGATGCCTGCCTGCATGAGACTTGCTTTATCAAGAGACAGAGCTGTCCTCGGATTAGAGTCTCCCTATGGACACGTCTTCAGCGCAGTGACCAGCCGTCACCTGGCTGAAATGCAAAGTGTGTTCTTAACTTATAACTGAAAAATCCTGGCTGAAATCAACTCCAGGACTCCAGGTTTCCTTACCTGTGTTTCCAAGCTGAATTCAACCAGATGAAAGTTTTTTCAAAAGAAAATAAATAAAAAATGATCTGCTTCAACCAAGCATGCACTTTTAACAGAGATAACTAAACATTTCATTTGGGTAAGAAAATACTGTCCTACAACTTGACAAATTAAAATGTGATGTTCTTGAATCTGGAAGGAAAAAAGCTAAAGCACAGCCTTGATCTGACCTTATCCACTGCTGCCTTAAGTAGCAGTAGTACCTTATAAATCTATAGTTCAGACACTTCAGAATTCTTTTGCAAGCAGAATGTGATTTGGTCCATATAATAGATCCGTATAATAATCCATGCCTCTTGGACTAGACGTGATGGGGACAGTTATCCTTATTTTTTTAGAAGGGGAACCAGAATACCAGAAGTTGAATGACTTTCCCAAAGTCATACAACAAAACAGTCAAGACCAGCATTCTTTTTTTTTTTTTGGCAGTTAATATGAATTTTATTTTTCCCCCTTTTTTTTTATTATGTTATGTTAGTCACCATACAGTACTTCATTAGTTTCTGCTGTTCCCTGATTCATTGTTTGCGTATAACACCCAGGGCTCATTGGAATACATGCCTTCCTTAAGAGCAGCGTTCTTTTGTGCAACATGCTGCCTCCACTCATTTTTGTTCTTATGGAAAATCTCAAACATATACAAAAGTTTATGAAATGCATAATAGTCCCACAACTTCAACAATCATTAACTCCTGTGTCTTTTCTCGCCTATTTCTCTATTCATTTTGCTCATCGCTCCTTCCCAGTTATTTTGAAGCAAATTCCAGATGTCCTGTCATTTCATCTGTAAATGCTTCAATATGCATCTAATCAAGATAGAGAATTTTAACCTAATCATAATGCTATTAGACACTTTAAAAAAGAAAATGGTGTTTCTCTAACATTGTCAAGCCTCTAGGCACTGTATCAATTTCCTAATTGGTTTATAATTATAGTTTTAAGTTTGTTTATTTGATTTGGGTCGCAAATAAAATCTGTGTATTGCCATTGGTTGATTATCTCCTAAGTCTGTTAATTTGTAAGATTACTCTCCGTGTCTTTTTTTCTGGCAACATTTTGTGAGAGTCGTCCAACTTCTATAATGCTTCCCAGTTTAGAGTTTGTCAATTGCATCCTCTCAGGACATTTAACACATTCCTCTGTCCATTGTTTTTTTTGTATTGGTAGTTATGTTTAGAAACTTGGTGAGATTGTTTCAATTTTTTTCTACAAAAATATGTTATTGGTTGGTTTTGTGAATTATTTTTAACAGGCACATAATATCTGCTTATCTCTTTTTCTGTTAGCAACTATTGACAAGAATAGCCTCTATCCATTTATTTTATAGGTGGTGATATCTCCATTCTATCAATAGTCCATAAGTCATTAGCTAGAATACAGTTTGAAGGAGAACCTACTCCTCCAACTACAGCTCATAAAGCAAAGGCAGGATAAATGATTAATTCTCTCCCTGTAACTGCACTTCCCCATAAGTTTCCCAGTCAGCCTGTCCCCAACCACCATCCAGAGATGATCAATGAGGTTGTGTGTCTTAAGTGTCATTGTGAACTGAGGCATGCTACCGTATTCCCTGTGTTTCAATCCATTGCAATCACTATCCTTATTAAAGCTCCATTTGTCACATCTTTGACACGTGGGAGCCTGTTCACATAACCCCCCATCATCTCTGGGGGTCTTCTTCTTTTCTGGTGTGAAAAGATGGTCCAGGCTTGTACGTTTCCTGCCCTAAAATTCGGCCATTTCTGCAAAGAGCCTGAGGTCATTTTTGTAGGAATTGATATTTTGAAATCAGTCTGGACACTGGGAGTGCCCACTGCTACTAGATTTTCATTATTTCTAGGCTTTTATATTAGTGGGCCAAGGTAGGAAAAATGTACATACCATGAGTTCATAGTAATACTTATTGACTTTTGGCTTAAACCCATCAATTTATAGCTGCATCTCCTTTTTCTCTTCCCAGAAATATCAGTTCTCAGTGACACCATACAATTACCCATTTGCTTTATCCTGCAATTCACAAGCAATAGTCTAAGAGCAATGATACAGACACTGCCACCTACAATATGATTGTTATAAATGGTTTTAAGATTCTTTTTGACTTCTTTTTATCCTAGAATATTTCCCTCTACAAATGTGTCATCAAATTATTGTGTTAAATATGTTTGGAATATCTCTTCTCGGTGTGGTTATATGCATAGATTCATTTGCTTGTCTGTCTGTTTGTTTTTACAGAGTTTTTTTAAACAACTATTTAGTTTTATAATTTATAATTATATAATTTATAATATAATTTTATAATTCCACAATTCAATAGCCAAGTTTATAAAACAAGATACAATTTTAAAACTTTAAATTTTTCCCTATTTCTCCACCCTATTTCCTCCCTTCCTCATCTCTTTGGTAATGAGTTTTTATGTTTGACCTTTTAATCTTCAATTTCCCAATAAATAAAGAAAAATATATACATGTGGACAGAGAAGTAGATGCCCCCTTTTTATTTATTTTTTAATTCTTTATTTAAATTCAATTTAGTTAACATATAGTGTATTATTAGTTTCAGGGGTAGAATTTAGCGATTTGTCAGTTGCATACAACACCCAGTGCTCATTACATCACATGCCCTCCTTAATGCCCATCACCCAGTTACCCCATCCCCCCACCCACCTCCAGCAACCCTCAGTTTGTTTCCTAGAGTTTAGCATCTCTTACAGTTTGCCTCCCTCTCTATTTTCATCTTATTTTATTTTTCCTTCCCTTCCCATACATTCATCTGTTTTGTTTCTTAAATTCCACATATGAGTGAAATCATAATGTATTTGTCTTTCTCTGATTGACTTATTTTGCTTAGCATAATACCCTCTAGTTCCATCCATGCTCCTTTTTTAGATGCTCCCTTTTTAGATCAAAGGTGGCATACTCTACACACTTTTCTCTACCTTGGAGACTAGTCCATCAAAGTATAGAAAAACAGTTTTCCCCTTTTTTTTATAGTTTATTGGACCAACAAAATGAGCACCCGGGTTGTTTCCAGCTTTTGTTATAACAAATTCTGCTGAGGGAGTTATCTTATGCCTCTGTCTTTCCATACTTTTACCATCCACTGAGACTTCACCTAAGACAAAGGAAAGGAACTAGCTGAATGTTTTAAGCCCTTGGATTCAGGACATTTAATCATGTGTTTGGCCATGCAGCATATTGTCCATTTTGACAGTTAAAGACTTGGAAATAGGGATGCCTGGGTGGCTCAGTCGGTTAAGAGTCTGCCTTAGGCTCAGGTCATGATCCCAGGGTCCTGGGATCGAGTCCCGCATCAGGATCCTTGCTCAGCGGGGAGCCTGCTTCTCCCTCTGCCTGCCACTCCCCCTGCTTGTGCTCGCTCGCTCCCTCTCTGACGAATAAATGAATAAAATCTTAAAAAAAGAACAGACTTGGAAATAATGGCGTCCCCAAAGCTGTTGTAAATATGGTTTAGGAGATTCTTTAAAAAGGAAGCTGTCTGCTCTCCAGTGCAGGGAAACTAAGACAAAGGGGAACTAATAATGTGCATTGGGTACCTACTGTGAGCCACGTGCCTTCTCTGTAACTTTCTAAGTAATTCTTCCAGTCCCATGTGCTCATTATTAGTGTCCATCCCAGTGGTAGAGATGAGGAATCTGTGATGAAGTCACGAGTCCAGGTTACAGCATTTGAATGTGGGACTGGGACTCTAAAGCACATTTGTGTCATAACTTAAAATCCACAATCCTGGGCGCCTGGGTGGCTCAGTTGGTTAAGCAACTGCCTTCGGCTCAGGTCATGATCCTGGAGTCCCAGGATCGAGTCCCGCATCGGGCTCCCTGCTCGGCAGGGAGTCTGCTTCTCCCTCTGACCTTCCCCCCCTCTCATGTACTCGCTCTCTCATTCTCTCTCTCAAATAAATAAATGAAATTTAAAAAAAAAAAATCCACAATCCTTCAATTCATTTCTCTTGCCTAGTGATAAAGAGCTCAGACTCTGAAGTTGGACTCTGGAGTTACCTCCAGTCCTGGCTTCCCCCCCTCACTAGTGTATGACTTTGGTCAAGTCACTCAGCCCTGTTTGCTTTGACTTGTTCATCTGCAAAATAAGGGTTGATAACGATACCTCCCTATCAGGGTTGTTGTGTGAGAAGGGAGTGAATGGATGTATATTGGTTAGAATAATAGCTGATACATAGCAAGCACCATCTAAGTGTTAGCTGGCTTTATCATCGGAATTTATTTGTGGAGTCCACAAATATTGATGGAGCATCTCCCCTGCACTGGGCACAGTGCTCCAGGGTAAAGATATCATTGAGCAGGTGAAGGGACTGCTGACCTCACAGTGCCAACAATCTAGTAGACGACACAGTCATCCCCAGATAATCACGCAATCACAAAATCATAGGTGCCTTAATGGTAGGAAGGGAAGGTACATAGCCCCGTGGAGTCTAATCACCCTCCCATCTCTGGCCATCAGACAAAATTCCCCTCCACATGCTCAGCTCAGGCTCTGTTTTGTTTGTGAAGGGTTCCAGAGAAGCCTCCCCCGCTGCGTGCCTGAGCCCGTACCCCGAGATCTCACCTGTTCTTTCTCTCTCTCTCTCATACACGGCAGCTGGAGTACACAGCCCGCCTTGACTTCCTTTGGCGAGTACAAGCCAAAGAAGAGATCAATGAGATGAAGGAGCTGAGGGAACACAACGAGAACATGCTCCGGAACATTCTACCCAGCCACGTGGCCCGCCACTTCCTGGAGAAAGACCGAGACAATGAGGTGAGCCCAGGCTTGTCTGGCTGTGAGGAGGGGTGGTGGTGGTAGGGTTGTAGTTGGGCACACTGGTCCGGAGCTCTGGGAGAATCCCCCTGCCCTCACGTGAGCCCCCGAGAACAGAGACCATGCTACCCCAGAGTGCCAGGCCACCCAGACTGCCTAGCTCCACCAGGGCTACACGGGGTCTTCCCAGCCTCAGGTACCACATCTGTAAGATGGACTTCATGTGAGCTCCATCCCGAGACTAGATTGAAATTTGAGTTTTATATACGTCTGTGCACATGTTTCTGTGTATCCACAGAGTGGGCTCTCCAGTGTCTCTCCCTATGTGTGTAAAATGTTACTGCTAATGTTACTTGCTGATATGCTGAAGACATTTGGGTTTGTGACCCTTGCCTGAGGGTAGAACTGGGAGAGAACCCCCGGCCCAGGTCCGTTTCCCACCCAAGCCACCACAGCAAGATCAGTGGAAGAGAAATCAAGGCAATGAATAAGCTGCTGCTTGAATAATCTTGATGCATCAAGACCCTGGAGGTCTCCTGGATGCACATCCAAGCACTGCCCACCCTCCTCGACAGACGGAGTTCTCTGGAATCAGCTTCAGGCCTGCTTTTCTCAAGGCCCCCTGTGGTCAGGGGCTTTGTTGCAAGAGCTTCTTGACAAAAGCCAAGAAAGCAGAGAGACTTGTTGTGCATCCGCCATGACCACCAGAAGGACCAGGTGAAACACTGGAGCCCTCAGAGGGAAAACTGGAAGAGAAATGAAAAGAAAGCTGCTTTTCAGTTGAAACAGCAAAACAATGAGGTATCTGGGACAGGGGGGAAGAGCAAGAATTTACTGGCTTTATCCTGAAAGGAAGGAAAGCCCCCAGAGATGCTGAGGTCATCAGCTGTGGTCCAGGCCAAACCTCCAAAGAGCAAAATAAATGACAGATTCGGCCTTAATCATAGAAGACATGTTCAATCCAATGTCTTGTCATGCTTCTTTGAGGTTTTAAATATTTAAATAGTTCACAGTTGACCAGGCTTAACCACAAAGTTTTGACATGGCCTAGAGAATGTTCACTCTATAAATAACCATTTACGGAACACCTGCTGTGTTCTGGGCACTGAGCACTATCTCAGGTACTGAGGTAGGCAATTGATGTAAATGATCTTTGGTTCTAGTTACGGTCTTAAGAGGAGAGTTCATCACCCCACGTTATTGACGAGGACTCGGGGGCTCAGAGAGGGCCATGACATGCCTCCCTGTATGGAAGCAAAGCTGTGAGACAAATCCAGCCCCACAGATTTCTTCCCTCTGTGCAGCACTGCCCCCACCGTGCCTCTGGGGGTTTGGCAAGACTAGCGTGTGTGTGTGTGTGTGTGTGTGTGTGTGTGTGTGTGTGTGTGTCAGAGTAACATGAGAAGGGATGACAGAGGAAGAGGCAGGAATGTTGTAACCTGTGGGAACTCCCAATAACCTGTTTTGTTATTGTGAGAGGCATTCTTAGCTTCTCTTCTTGCTACAAATCTGAACTATGATACAAACGTCTAAAAGGTTGGGGGCTGGACATTTTGAGTTTGGGGCTCAGCCTCCACGAGGCCACAACACTGCTCACAGATAAGAATGATTATCCCCATTTCGTAGAAGAAGAAAGTGAGGCTCAGAGAAGTAAGAACACAAAGCTAGTGAGTAGTGAGCTTGAATTCACACCCAGGTCTGTGCAACTTCAAAGCTAAATCTTGTGTTTTGTCCCATGTTGCTGTTAGGGCCTGAGCGGGAGAGAAGGGACAGCAGTGACAAGCAATGACTCAAACCATCTAAACACAGGGTGGTGGACAGAGTTTTGCCCCCTGGGACATCCTGTCCAGTTGGTTCCGGCTGTGTCACCCCACATATGTTCTGGAAACTTCTGCTATTCCCTGGACTTCTGACTTAGATTAGTGCTCACCACCCCAGGGCAGGTACTTTCTCACAGATGAGGCCGCCTGAGCTGGGTCATCAGTGTCGGCAAGCTATTGCTGAGTCCCGGGAAACCCACTTGCTCATTGTAGCTTTTTTAAGACCTGCAGAAAGGACACCAATGAGGGCAGGTGTCCCAGGTGCTGCAAAGTGCATACAGCACAAATTCCGTCTCTGCGCCTTGCCAGCTGTGTGACCTAGGGCAGCTTACCCAACCTCTCTGAACCCATTCTTTTCCATCAGATTCATGAGGAAATAATTCCAATCTTGCTGACTTTAGTGTGAGAACTCAACTGAGTAAGAACATATGAAGTGCCCAGCGAAGCGTGGTACCAGGCGGGTTTGGTATAGAAAAGCTGTGTGGTATTCTCAAAAGCTTGATGCCCTAGATTCAATCCTGGCTCCTCTGCTCACTACCTCTGGAACTGAGCAAGGGATGAATCCCCCTGGACCTCACTTTCCTCACCTACAAGGTAACAGTTCTTTGCAACTTGCTCCAGTTGCTACAATGTTTCCATGAATAATTATACGTAAAACATCTAAATGGTGCTTGGCCCATTTTAGGAACACACTGGGTTGTTGCTATTGTTTTTGATAAGGGTGAGCCATCATTATATTTTCGGTTCCTTTGCAATCCCAGCCCCCCACCCACTGACTCATTCACTCATTCACTCAACAAGTATTGAGGGAAACCATGTACCAGGTGTCATTCTAGATCCTGGGGGTCAAACAGTGAACAAAGAAGAAGAAAAGTCCTTGCCGATATGGAGCATGCGTTTTCATGAACAGATAGACAGGAACGTGAATAAATACACAGGATAGTGCCCAGCAGTGATCAGTCCTCCTCGGACAGAAGAAGCTGAGTAAGAAAACAGAGTAGGTGAAGGCGGTGCGGTTGACACCGGAGGGTCTCTCCAAGGCGGTGGTGTTCACACAGAAACCTGAGGATGCTAATAAAGTCAACCGGCCCCAGACGTTGTTTCTCCCCTGCAGAGAGGTGGCTTAACTCAGTATAAGAAACACAGGACCTGGAATCAGGCAGGCCTAGGTGCCCTGGGCCAAGAGCTGGCTAAGTCTTCATCCTGATATCTGGGCGGAGCCGGGAGTGTGCATATGCTAAAAATCCTCTAAGAAGCCCAGACCAAGAGGACCATAGAACAGTAATAGCTTTTCTGTATTCATCAATCCCTCCCCAGTTTACAGTGCTCTTATGTTCTTTGAGCCCAAAATAGCAAGAAACAGATGGCATACTCAAAGCAGTGGACTGGGGAGAGTTGAACAACGGGGCTGTCTTTAAAGGTGTAGGCAGGTGGCTGGCACTTTTCCATACCCGCCCCCCAAACCCTTCACCTCCTTTGTGTGCAGCACAAATTCCATCTCTGTTATTAACTAGCTGTGTGACCTAGGGCAGCTTACCCAACCTCTCTGAGTACATCTCCTCGTCTGATTCATAGGAAATAATACAGACCTTGCTGAGTCGATGTAGGAATTAAATCGGGTGAGAACACATGAAGCGCCCAACACAGCCCAGTGCAAGGTGGGTTTGGTAGAGATAGGCCACCTGGTGCACCTGAAAGCCCACTGCCCTGGGTTTGGTTCCTACGGCCACTTTCTTCACCAGGTAGCATCTGACAGAGAGGACTGAGCCTCCTCCCACCCCAGTCCCACCCCTCCAACCCCTAATAGGATGCAGCAGAGTCAAGATCTGAACTCCGGTCATAGGTCTTGAAGTTTATGCACTGAGAACCCCCCACCACAGGTCCAATCAACCATCCATTCAGAAGGACTTACGGATCCAGTTTCCAGTCCCAGTGACATTTATTCCTAGGCATTATCCTGATTATTATTGTGGTTACTGGGTGGTGGTTGCAGTCATGGTATTTGCTTATTAGCATTAGTAGCAGCCCCAGCAGCATGGGCTCTGGAGTCAGACTACCTGCGCGGGCATGAAGTCCAGCTCTGTCTCTGAACAACTGCGGGTCTTGGGTGAATTATTTAATGGCTACGTGCCTCAGTTGCCCCACAAGTACACCAGGATCCTAACTGTATCCAGCTCCTGGGTTGTGAACATTCAACACGGTGATGTATGTGCAGCCTTCTGTGTCACGCTTGTCATGCAGGGAGCGCTCCATGGATGTAGCTGACATTATTAGCATTGTTTGTGTCGTATAAGCAATCGGAACATTCCGGTTGTTGGCAGAGGCTGAGAAGTAAAACTAAGGCTGGGAGGAGCTAGGATTGGTGAGAACACTCAAGCAGATAAATGGTTGATGAGAAACCCCCGGGGACCCGCCTTTATATCACAGCGGCATTTATATATCACCAGGCAGAAGTGGGAGGCAAGCTGGCCCACTGGGTCATTATGGACTGGGTTTCAGAGGGCTCTGATAGGGTTTTCTCTTTGTTTTTTAAAACAGAAAATAGAAATAATGGGTGTTGTGGGCTGAATTGTGTCTCCCACAATTCATATGTTGAAGTCCTAACCCCCAGTACCTCTGGATACAACTGTATTTAGAGATAGGATTTTTAAAGAGGTGATTAAGTTCCAATGAGGCCATTAGGGCAGGGCCCTCATCCACTCTGTGTCCTTATAAGGGGAGATTAGGACATACACACACCCAGAGGGGAGACCATGTGAAGACACGGGGAGAAGACTGCATCTCCAAGTCCAGGAGAGAGCCCTCGGGGGGAAAAAAAAAAACAGCCCTGCTGACCCTTGATCTTAGACTTTGTAGCATCCAGAACAGTGAATCAATTTCTACGTTTAAGCCACCCGGTCTGTGGCACTTTGTGATGGCCCCCTGAACAAACTAATATAATATGTAACAAACAGATTTTTTTTTTCCTCCAAATCACAGCCAATTGGAGGAGTCGGATAAAACAGAGAGTCAGGCTCTTTCCGGGGTATCACTCCATTGCTCAAGGCCAAGGTGAATGGCCACCCCTTGAAAGCCACGTGCCATGGCTCTGCTCCTTGGCCACGATCTGCGCTCCCCACACCCTGCCCAGCCCAACCCAGGTCAGCCAGTCACCACCAGCCTGTGCTCTTTTGGACGAGGACTAGTGAAAGTCCTCACTCAGATTCACCCACGCGTGAAGCTCAAGACTTATTGATCTTGAATCAGGGTCACCATCTTTCTCAGACTGAGGGCACGAAAGCCAGAGGAGACAAGCCCAAGTGTGCAGCGTGGGGAGGGCCCTGGAGGTCCTCCAACCCTGGCTCGTCCACTGCTAGTGGTGTGGTCCAGAACAACAGCTTAACTCCTCTCTCTCTCTCTCATTTTCCTTATCTGTAAGGTGGCAGTAAGAATCAGTGCCTGTTTCACAGGATCATTGCAAGGATTAAATCATTGAATTCATATGAAAGCGCTTGGTAAGCTTTGATGTTTCCTGCAAAGACCAGGGAGTAATTAATTCCAACAGGTTAGAGCATTACCTTGTACCAGATGCTATAGACTGTATGCATGATAGTACAGGCATCCAAAAAAATATGAACTGGATGGTTAGAATGCACTAAGATGAATGCATGGGGTCTTTGCCTTGTGGAATTCCATGCTAAAGGAAGAGACAGACAGTAGGTGATGATACAGGCAACCCGGGCGCTGCCACAGCACTGCGCTCAGCCTCCTGACCCCAGCTACGGGTCCGGGAAGGTTCACAGCAGACATGGTATCTACGTGGCTAGTGAAGGCAGAAAACAAGCATTAGCCTGGTTAGGGAGGCTAACTTCAAGAAGGAAGGACATGTCCCGTCAAGGCACAGACAGTAGGAATCAAAGCATTCAAGTGTGAGAAGTGTGTGTGTGTGTGTTTGGCTCTTCCAGAAGCCGACCTTGAGACAAGGATCTGGTTGAAAGTCATTCGCTTGGAGGTGGTTCCAGGAAGCCCAGGCAGGCAGGAGAGTGGGAAGGGAGGGAAGGGCTAAATGAGGCATTATCAGACTAGTTACCTCTGTGGGGCACTGGAGCTCTATCCCACTGGGGATTCAGGGACATGTCGATAGCATACCTCACAGCAACCTGGCCCAAGGAGTGAAGGAGCTGAGGACTCTAAGGCAATTGCCATCAGTCACCGGTTGAGAGCAGCTCCCCAGGGACATTAATTTCCTGGAGCAGTGAGCCCGCTGCTCACGGGGCAGAGTGCCCTCTAGTGGTCAGAGAAAAGCTCCATGCAAAGCAAGGCAAGGACCCACAGCTGGACTTCTGGGAGAGAAGCAGTCAGTCAGGACACTGCAGCATCTGCTACCGTCCTTACACAGGAGTACAATGCTTCGCTGTTTCTGGAACATGAGGTCCGATGCAGGGAATCACAGGCAATGAGGCTGAAGAGAAAGGTGGAGGCAAGGGCATGCATATATGAATATATGTCATGCTGCTGTGTTTGAGCTTTATCCTGAGGGCAGTTGTGGGCCACTGCAGGTTTGAAGAATGGGAGAGGCATGGTCAATATTCTGTCTTTAAAAGATCACTGCGGCCACCATGGGGAACATGCCTCGGGATGGGACAAAACAAGTCAGGGAACCCAGTGTGGAGAGGAAAGCGGGTAGCCCTGATAAATAGCAATGACAGAAGGGGCAGGAAAAAATACTTGAGACAAAAAGAAAGCCAGCAGAACTTGGCAGTTTACTGAATCCAAACATGATGGGGAAGAAGGCTGACGTCAAGGCATCTCTGAGCATCTCTAACCTTGATGACTCAGCGACACTGTGCCACCCACTGAGAGCAGGTTTAGGTGGAGAGAAGATGCATTTGGGTGTGGCATTTATAGCTTGAAGAGTATGAGGACAACCCAGCTTGGGACCCAGCAGCTGAGAGCCTGAGAACGGGAGCCGACTCGAAGACAGGAGTTCAGAAGATATCCCACCTGAATGTTGGTGAAAGGTGGAGAGTAAACGAGACGGCCCAGGTAAGTGTGTGAACTTTGGACCTGGCCGTGGGTCAAGGACAGAACCACAGCCATCACCAACATTTCAGATGGAAGGTAAGCCCCAAAAAGGCATCTCTGAAGGAGCCAGGCATAAGGAACGCAAGTGTGGCATCACTGAAACGAGGAAAGTCAAGAGACTCGTGGTCTTGGGAGGGATGACCCCATCGACCTGCATAGTGTCCCGGAAGACATGAACCGAAAGCCATGCCACGCAGTGATTTTTTCTTTCCACTTTGGCCGGCTGTCTGACCTGCTCCAGAGTCACTTCATCTCAGCCTGACATGTGAATGAACACGGCCAGGGTAGGGACAGGCCGTGGAGGGAACTCATTTGGGAAGTTTGGCGCAAAGAGGAAGAGAGACGGGTGAATGGTCACAAGTGTGTTCAGGTTCCAGGGGGTGTCACACTATTCCACGTAGGGCACATTTGGAGGGGGGAGGGGAAGGGAGAGGAGGAGGAGCGAAGGAATAAAGAAAAGGATCACCGCAGGAGGAAGCTACTGAAGAAGTTAGAAGCAGGAGTTGCCGAGACATCTGGTAGAATCGTTGACCTTCAGCAGAAGGAAAATGCAGTCTGCAGTTGAAGCAAAAGGGATGAAAATAAATATGAACGTAGAAACAAGTATGAGTATTGGAACAGTGCTGGGTCACTGCCAAGAGGCTCAGTTTTTGCCACAGACTTAAGAGACGAGATCAGTTCTTGAGAGGAATCGAGTGGGGGCTGCAGTTAGGGACAGTGGTGAAGGTTTGGACTCGCTGCTAGGAGGACAGAAAAGGAAGGTGACCAAGGTCAAAGGGTGTGCAGTCAGAACTCGAGGCCCAGCCGAGGCTGGAGACCATGCATTGTCAATGGCCCCGGTGCACATGGCTACCGTGTTGACATGACAGTGCCAGAGCCCCGTTCTCTGTGCTCTCCGTGGGCGCCTGTGGATGGGTGCAGGTGCACGTGCTCACGGGGGAGCATCACTGCAGAACCTCACCTCTGATGACCATTTGTGGCTCCCTCTGTCTCCCCATGCAGGAGCTGTACTCTCAATCCTATGACGCCGTCGGAGTGATGTTCGCCTCCATCCCGGGGTTTGCAGACTTTTACTCGCAGACTGAAATGAATAACCAAGGAGTGGAATGCCTGCGCCTGCTGAATGAGATCATTGCTGACTTCGATGAGGTAAATCAAAGCCCCAGAAACCTACAGTCCCCGGTGGGCATCCCTGTTGTCCCAGCGTCACGTTCGCTGGGGCAGTAGCCATGGTTGGTACGCGCAGAACCCCAGGCTGCAGTATGAACACAAACACGTATTAGCTAATTTAAGTACCGCGTGAGATAAACACCATTGTTTTTCCATCTGGGAGATCGACATCAGAAGCGTCAGTGAGGCCGGGTAGTCTAACCCAATGGCAAACAACCATCATATGGCAAAACCAGGACTTGATTGGAGGCCGCTGCTCTGCAGGCACTGGCATCGCGGAGACTGGGCACAGATGGGGACATTTCTCCATCTGCTCAACGTGCCAGAGATAAAACCATCAATTCGCATTTGGTCGAAGACCGAAGCACAAGTATACACGTGCTCCAGATAATGCTTTCTCCTTTTAGGCTCCGTGAGTGTAAAGAACACATGACATAGGGGGTATACTCATACGGCACTGTATTTACATTAATAGATTTGGCAGGAAAGATCCTCCCCCACCCCAATCTTCTAGCTTCAAGTAAGGCACCATCGTCCATCCATTTGCCCAGGCCTGAGAAGGGAAGCGATTCATCAAGAAAATGTTAGGGAAGAGGCCATGTAAAGATGGGGGTTCAGCTGAGGTCTAGCCTCCTAGCCTGGTCCTTGGGGAGCTCAGGAGCATAAGTGGTACCACAGAGTTGTTTCAAGCTGAGGGAAGGGGGCCAAACTTTTGTGCACCATGTTGGTCAGCCATCGACTGTGGGTTGCCCCTTGAGGGGGATGGTTGCCTCACTTCCCAGGCATTTCCAGCATAGGCGCTCCCAGTGGCCCCAGGCAGTTCTCCAGAAAAGGGTACAGCAGTGCATTGTCAGCAGCCAGACCTCACCTCATGGCATTCTTGAGAATGGCCTCATGAAGGAGATGAGCGTGGGGCACCAAGAGCATTTGTGACACCACTCAATGTCCTCTCTCTCGATCTCCAGGTTCCATTTAGCTACTGGGGCCTGTGGGTTCCTTCTTGATGACTCTTTGGTCTGCCCCTTCCTCAGCATCTTCTTGCACTCGGCCATCTTACTTCTCCCCTGGATGGCTGCGGCATTCCCTCGCTGCCCCTTCCTGTACCTCACCTCAGCCATCACCAAAAGCACAACCATCTTTTCACAACGCCTTGAAACCGAAAGGCCATCAGTGGCTCCCAACTCCTTGTAAGGTCACCTGAGGCTTTGCACTTGCTGTCCTGTCCCCTCTCTGGCCTTACCTCCCACTGCATGCCACCCGGCCCCCCACCCACCATCCAGTGGCTTACAAGCCTTCACGCCCACCAGGCTATTCCACATTCTGCTCTTTTTGCCCCAAAATTATACCATCCTCACTATACCCTGTCCTGTCTCCCTCAACTGCGTGGCCAACAGAAAACCTAATACTAAACAATCCATTCAGACATCATCTCCATGGAACACTACATCAAAAACTAATGATGTACCCTATGGTGACTAACATAACATCATCATCATCATCATCATCATCATAATAAAGGAAACTATGCAGAAAAAAAAACCAAACATCATCTCTCCTTCTGACACCTCTTCTAATCCCCCTTCTATCTAGGTAAATGTCATCACTCCTATTTTGATGAAAAACTTATACTCTGAAACCTTTCATCACAGAACCTGAAACCCTTCAGTGTACAGATCCACCTCCCCCACTAGCCATGAAGTTCTGGGGCAGAAACCCATCTTATTAATAGAGGTGTTTACCACATGTTGCCACAACTGCAAAATAATTTCAATATATAACATTCAGTTGGTACCTATCCCTCAGTAAAACGCACAGAGTAGGAATTATTAGCCTTCATTTTATAAATAAGCAACACTGAGGCTCTGGGACACCAAAAGAGCCCAGGCTTTGCCACCACTAAGTAGCACTGCCAACATTTGAACCCAGGTCCACCATACTGTTTTGGTTTTTAACCATTAACTGACGTTTATGGTTCCAGTTTTGTAGTCAAAAAGACAACAATGGTCATTTTAGTTGTTATAGGGATGGGGGTGGGGATCGAGATAAATAAGACACAGTCACCTCTTGTTTCCATGGTTTCACAGCCTAGTGAGGGACAAGATAATTGAATCACTTTTACAGGGGATGTCAGGGGTAAGGGTACTCATACAGAGGGCCTTGCATTGTGGAGACTGGAGGGTGATTCCATGATAATAGTACCTTTATTCCAGCTCTTTGTGGCAGGCCATACTCTCATAAAGGTAGAAATTATACTCATGTATCTTGGTCATTTTTTAAGATTTTATTTATTTACTTCAGAGAGAGAGCACAAGCAGGGCAAGGGCAGAGGGAGAAACAGACTCCTCGCTGAGAAGGGAGTCTGGTGCGGGGCTCTATCCCAGGACCCTGGGTTAGGGTTAGGGCTGAAGGCAGACGCTCAACCGACTGAGCCACCCAGGAGCCCCAACTCTTATGTATCTTGTTAAGTCCTCAGTGACTAGCACTGTGCCTAGAACATAGGAGATGTTCATAACAGATGCTTACTAAGTATTTGCTAAAGGGATCAATCAATCAATTAATTAATTAATGGGGGACAAAAACAAGCTGGAAAATAGCAAGGTGAAGATAAACTAGTGTAATCCAAAACATATCTTTAAATTAAAAAAAATTAAAATAACTGTATTTAAAAAAAACAAACAAACCCTGACTGAAGGTTGACCCATCAGGCTGTTTTATTTTAAACTCCATAGTCCCCCATCCCCCAAAAGTACTCATGAGCATGTATTTAAATTGTAATAAATAAATATGAAGTAAATTTGCATCTCCGTGCCCCAATTTGTAGACACCTGGTATCTTACAAAAACACGACAGCGCCCCTAGTGGTAGAGGTGGGTTTTTGCAGAGGGAAGTTGGATTGGCTAGGAGAGGGGGAGATTGATTGGTCCAGGAGCTGGGTTTTAGACCAGCAGCAGGAGAGGAGGAGGAACTGGAGGAAAATGAAAGAAGAGAGGAGGGCAGAGATGAGAGGGAGAATCAAAAAGAAGATGTCGGAGAGGATGTGGAGAAAGGGGAACCCTCTTACACTGCTAGTGGGAATGCAAACTGGTGCAGCCGCTCTGGAAGACAATATGGAGGTTCCTCAAAAAGTTAAAAATAGAGCTACCCTGTGACACAACAATTGCACTACTAGGTATTTATCCAAAGGATACAAACATAGTGATTCGAAGGGGCATCTGCACCCCAATGTTTATAGCAACAATGTCCACAATAGCCAAACTATGGAAAGAGCCAAGATGTCCATCAACTACATCAAAAACTAATGATGTATCGTATGGTGACTAACATAACATAATAAAATAAAATTTAAAAAAAACAGATGAATGAATAAAGAAGATGTGGTATATATATGCAATGGGTTATTACTCAGCCATCAAAAAGAATGGAATCTTACCATTTGCAATGATGTGAATAGAACTAGAGGGTATTTTTTTAAAGATTTTATTTATTTATTCATGAGAGACAGAGAGAGAGAGAGAGAGGCAGAGGGAGAAGCAGGCTCCCAAGGAGCAGGGAGCACAATGCGGGACTTGATCCCAGGACTCTGGGACCACGACCTGAGCCGAAGGCAGACGCTTAACCATCTGAGCCACCCAGGCACCCAGAACTAGAGGGTACTATGTTAAGTGAAATAAGTCAGAGAAGGACAAATACCATGTGATTTCACTCATATGTGGAATTTAAGAAACAACACAGGTGAACATAGGGGAAGGAAAGGAAAAATAAAATAAGACAAAATCAGAGAGGGAGACAAACCATAGAGACTTAACCCTAAGGAACAAACTGAGGGTTGCTGGAGATAGGGTAACTGGGTGATGAGTATTAAGGAGGGCACGTGATGGAATGAGCACTGGGTGTTATATGCAACTGATGAATCCCTGAACTCTATCCCTGAAACTAATAATACAGTATATGTTAATTAAATTAAATTTTAAATTAATTTTTTTTTAAAAAAGGAAAGAAGGGGAGGAAAGGGGAAGAAGTAGAAGAGAAGGGGCAGGAAGAGGGAAAAGCATGCAGTCAGCAGGAACATTCCATGGCTTGCCCACCCCGAGCACTGTCAGCTTTCCCCACGTGGGTCCTTGGGACACCCAGACGTGCCTTGTTCCTCTGTGTCAAGAGAGACCCTCCATGTTCTGCCCTGGCTAAGCTCCAGCCAGATGCCTCGTGCTGACTTTAGTAACAATGCTGCTCTTCTTGCTGATAAAAGTACCACAGGAACCTGGGAGCGTGCGACATTCATTCCTGGCTCAGAGGAAAGCAGGACATTGCATGGAGCACATGCTCCGAGACTGGGTTTGCAATAACCCAATGACGGGGCTCCTCTCCCCACAGCCTCTGCTTTGTTGAAGGCCAAAGGGTGCGCCCACATCTCGGCACTCTGTGCGGACAAGCGAAATAATAAAGGGGCTGATTAAGACCCGCATTATGCCCCCAGATGCTTTTAGCTATATGGCCGATACATTTGCTGCATGGACATTCGATGAAATAATGAAGCCTCTTGCTGCCTTCTGATTGACTTCTGAGGAGGAGGCAGCTTTTCCTGGGCCTGAAGCTGGCCCTTGGCCAAGTCGTTCCAAGAGAAGAGAGGAAGGAAGAGTGCCCCCTCCCTGCAGGAAGCTGGGGAAAGGCAGTTGTAAGGAGGCAGAGAGAAGGAGATGGGCAACCGAAGACATGCCAAGATCCCTGAGCTAATATTTTAACAGCCGCAGGGCTACTAAGAGACCAAACAAACCTGCTTAGTGGTGTGTGAAGGCGAATGTCAGACATGATCCGAGGCTGAGGATGTGCAGGATGCTCCAACCACTTCCTTTCCTGGGTGCAGTTGGTGGAATCTTCACCAGGGCAGAACAGTGGCTTCAAGAAACAAAAATAAACAAAGGATGCCTCAGCTGTGAATCAGGCTACACACACACACACACACACACACACACACACACACCCCAAAGCAAATCACAAAAGCACCTGCCAGTTTTCCTTGTTTCCCAGAAGAATTTCTCTCCAGCTAGAATTTTTCATGTTTTCTTAGCTCCAGATTAATTTTGAGAGGATGCCTGTAGCAAGACGTGTGTAGAAAACCCATCTCGTCTTCTTGGTCTGACCCACCTGTTGCATGAGCCCCTGAGCATATTGTAGTCTTAAAGGGAGACAGAGAGTTGGAGAACCAGAAGTTTTATCTAAATACCTGCCAACAGAGGGGAATAAGAGGCTATAACTTAGCTCTGGGAGCCAGGGAGGTTTATGTTTTGAACCTACATCCTCCATTCAGGGCTGGCTTCATGGATGTGTGGCCTGTGTGGGGCTGGTAGTGAGACACAGTCAGAATCTGGGTATCTTTGAAGGTGAGCTAAGGATTTCCTGAAAGGTTGGATGTAGGTGATGGTGTTTTTATCCAGAACAACTGGAAAAGTGGAGACACCATTAATCAAGATAGCCGGTGGGTAGAGGACCAAGGCTGTAGTTTTGAGAATGGCAGGCTAGAGATGCCTCTGAGCATCCCCATAATGGGGATGTCACTGAGCGATTTTGTGCAGAAAGAGTCTGATGGTCAAGGGAAAACACATACATTTAGGAATCTTCAGCAAAGAGATTGTGTTGAAAGCCATGAGCCATCATGAGATTGCAAGGGAGTAAGCTATTTTTTTTTAAGATTTTTCAAATTTATGTAGTGGGGGGAGGAGCAGAGGGAGAGGGAGAGAGGGAATCTCAAGCAGACTCCCCACTGAGCATGGAGCAAGACACAGGGCTCAATCCATGACTCTGAGATTACAACCTGAGCCGAAATCAAGAGTTAGCCGTTTAACTGACTGAGCGACCCAGGCGCCCCGGGGAGTGAGTTAAAATAGAAAAGAGAAGAGGTCTGAGGCCTGAGTCTTTTGGCCACCGACACCGTGAGTTAAGGAAGATAAGAAGGAACTAGCAAAGGGGACCGAGGAATTGCCAGTGACATGGAAGTAAAGCCATGAGTGGGCAGAAAGCACGTGCGTGGGAAAGGTTATCACAATCGACTGGTCAGATCCGGCTGATGGGCCAAGCAGGGTGAGGCCAGTGGTCAGGCAACGGGAGCGGTCATCACAGGTCAGGACAAGAGTAATGTCAGTGTTAAGGGGGGACTCGGGATGCCGGGTCTGTAGTGGATTTAGAAAAGCACAGGGAAGAATTTAGAGGCAATGAAGAGAGACAACAATTGGAGGATTTTTATAGCAAAAGAAATGTGGTGTCCACAAGGACTTTTCTTAAGATGAGAAAAATAACCGCAGCCCTCTTCTCACTGCTCTGAACCTACCATGCATTCTCCCCAACCTCCGGCCCTCATTCGTGCTGTCCCCTCTGTCCGGACGCTCCCCCCAACCCTTTCCATGCCGCCAGCTTCCCAGCACACAAAGCCATGCACCCGCCGCTGAAAGTCCCTTCCTTCCTTGCTCTTAAAAGTGAAGCTAGAAATCACTTGCTCAGGGAAGTCTCCAGATGTTACCAAAATGCTCCATTCTCCTCGTTCCTACACCCTGTATGTTTCCATCATGCACTTTACTAGAATTGAACTAGGGCATGTTTTGTGTGATTATTTCTTTTACATGTGATCCCGCCCCTGCCTGGGCTCTCAACCCTCTGATGGCTGGGACCTCCCATCTTGTTCATGAGACATTGCAGAAGATCAATGGGTAGTTGCTGTATTAGTTACTACTGCTGCTGTAACAAATCACCACCAGTTTAGTGACCCCAAACGACAGAAATGTATTGTGTTACAGTTTGGAGGTCAGAAGTCCAAAATGGATCTCACAGGTCAAATCAAGGTGTCAGCGGGGCTGTATTCCTTCTGGAGGCTCCAGGGGAAAATCCATGTCATTGCAGCTTCCAAAGGCCACCTGCATTCCTTGGCTTGTGGCTCCTTCCCCCATCTTTAGAGCCAGCAGTCACACCTCTGACTCCTGCTTCTGCCCTCACGTTGCCTTCTCGACCTTTCCTGCCTCCTCCTTTCACTTATAAGGATGCCTTGTGATTACGTGGAGCGCACCCAGCTAATCTAGGGAATCGTCCCATCTCAGGATTATTAACTTCCATCACATCTACAAAGTCCTTTCTGCCATGGAAGGTAACATCCACGGGTTCCAAGGATTAGAACGTGGACATCTGTTCGGGGGAGTAGAATGGGAAGCCACAGGAGGGTTTTGCTCAGAGTGGGGACATGATCTGACTTGCCGTGGAATGGATCTCTCTGGCTGCCGGGCTGGGAGGTGAGGGAGGGAGTAGGTACTACGGTCATGGTGGTACAACAACCAGGTATAAGCCAACAGTGGCTCAGACCAGGATGCTGACAGCAAGTGTTAAGATTCCAAATACATGTTGACGGTATAACCAAAAAAGATTTGTTCACAGACTGGGGAACATTTGTGATTTCTTTTTTGAACCAATACAATAACCATTTATTTCAAAGATTCACTGAAACAGATCTACTCCTTAAAGAGTATCTGGGTGCGCCCATCGTGGCACCTGGCACTTAGCAGGTGCTCAGTAAACGTATGTTGACTGCCTAAAGGCATGATTCTCAGAGAGAAAAGTAGCTGTCTTGAGGATGCTAAACCAGGCAGAAGTAGTCCTCATTGTGAGCCGGGGGCCTGCTTCAGGAAAGCAACCCGTCTTCTGGAAGAATAAACACCAGGACTAATATCATTGCCTGGATCTATTTCAGCTGCTTGGTGAAGACCGGTTCCAAGACATTGAAAAGATTAAGACCATTGGCAGCACCTACATGGCCGTGTCAGGCCTGTCCCCTGAAAAACAGGTAAAGCAACTCCTTGCACATGGCCACACCGCATGGCAGGCACCTCACTGTTTTCATGTCGCTGAAGGCAGTGAGGCCATCATCACCAGGCTGCATGCGGACTGGTGGGGAGACGATCTGATGAACTGGATATTCCAGTCATGTGACGTACATTTGCTCCCGTGGGAAGTAAGGTCTACTGGATGTAACGACGCTTCGTTATGATTGAGAAACCTCTAGGCGCCATTCTGAACCTCGTTGTTGACTTGATGAACAAAATCAGGGCCAAGAAATACCCTGGCTATGACTCAGTTGTAGGTGATTCCAAACCCCTGATACCAGCCTGTTTTCTTATTCTTAACAGTATGTAAGAATAATAGCTCGCACTCTTTTGAGGGCTGACTGTGGGCCAAGCACTAGCGTCAAGTAGGAACACTAGCATCTACCTTCCAGCGTTAGTGGATGAGTTACCTGAGACCTTGTCGTGCTCCCCATGCAAAAGCCTACACGGATATGAGTCTGAGTTACTGGGAAGAAGGAATCCTCATTTCTTCCTCTCATCCTTCCTTCACTTGCTTTCCAACTAAAAACCCAGAAACATTCCACAAGCAACTACCTGGAAAGACACCCACACTAGTCATTGGAGGCCCATGCACGGCGCCCTATAGCAGGGTCCACAAAGTACAGCCTGCCTGCCAGATCTGACCCACCATCTGTTTTTGTCAATAAAACTTTATTGGAACACAGCCATACCCATTTATTCATAGTTTAGCTTTGGCTCCTTTCAAGCTAAAATGGTGGCATTGAGCAACCATGACAAAGCCTAAAATATTACTATCTGGCCCACCATGATTCGCCAACCTCTGCTCTGGAGGGGCACAAAGTGCTTTTACATACACAATCTCATGCAATCCTTGGGAGGCAGGCAGGATATATATGTGAATCCCCATTTTATAATTGAGGAGATTGAGGTTCAGAGAGGCCCAGAGGCTTACTCTGCTCTTCCCTCAGGAGTTCTGTGAGCAAATGTCTATATGAAACATCCCTTGAACAGACAGTGTGAGCGCTTCAAAGGAAATATACAGATTTCCTAGCACCTAAACACATACACACCGTAAGTGTACTCAGGAATGCATGGTGCATCAACCCGACAGGACAAGTGTAGATGTGGGGAAAGGAATATGATGAGCCACACATATTACACTCGCTTCAGCAAATCTCCCGTCATCCCGCGTTTTGGGGACGCTGCTGACTTGAGTGTACAGGGGCTCACATACCTGGTTATCTCCATCTCAGGGACGCGCAGGTGGGTTAGGACATAGGACAGGCCCCTGCTGCAGAAAGGTTCACGTTCACCATAGTGAATGAATTCTTCTCTACCCTCTGCTCCAGCAATGTGAAGACAAGTGGGGACATTTGTGCGCCCTGGCCGACTTCTCCCTCGCCCTGACCGAGAGCATACAGGAGATCAACAAGCATTCCTTCAACAATTTTGAACTCCGGATTGGTGAGTAGCCGCCAGAGGTGTGGCAAGTGGGGGGCCCCACAGAGCTGGCTGGCCTGGCTCCATCAGACCCTCCCATGCCCTGGGCCATGGGTAGCTTTCTCCTGAGAAAAGCAGCAGGCTCAGTGTGACCTTGCCAAGGACAGGGACAGCATCAGCTCAGGCCAGTCTGGCCTTCCTCTCACTCAGGGTGCTGGAAGCCAGGGAAAGATACTGGCCTGTGTGCAGAAAGACACAGCAAACACTACACCCTAGCTACCTTTCTTCCAAGTTACTTGTGCGGTACCCCACCCACACAAGGCCCTGTTGAGGGAGAGAGCTGAGTCGTCTTTCATTTCATTCCGACTTCATGTCATCTGATGCTGTTGGTCAGGGAGCTGCTCCCTGGTTCTTCTGGATAATGCCTTAAAGCAAAAGCAGGATTTGAGTCCTACGGATGTCAGATGCTATGTTGCTCAAGGACAGAGAAAGCGTTTTGGCTCTTCCTTGGCCACACAGCTCACCCTTCCTTGAGCTTAGAGACACCCTGGAGCAACGCAACAGTGCAACTGAAACCATAGCAATGTGAATAGTGGCCTTTTATAATGTGTATAATTGTCAATGTCTTTGGCATCCCTGCTGATTCTCGAAGGCCTCCTCCAGCAAGGTGTGAAGGCCCCGGCTCTAGTCCACATTCTCATTCCATAGTGAGTCAACTCAGGCCCAGAGAAGGGGAGTAATAACTTACGATCACACAGCCAAATGGCCACTCAGGCAGGGGCTCCAGGACGTCAGGACAGACCAGTGATGTTCTGGCTGCCAGGCTGCAGGTTAACACAACCTTCGCTGCAGTGTTCGGATTTTAGATATCCTCTGGCCAGCATGTCATCTGACTGACTTAGGTCTCCCTGAGTAGCTTTCAAGAAACAAGGGTCAAGAAATGCCAATCAATATCTGACTTGTCAGATCTAACAAATGCCACGAACCTTTGTTCCCCAAAATAAAAAGAAGCCCTATTTTATGTTTTGGATCTATGGCTGGGATGTTCGGGGCTTGTTTCCACATGTTCCATCAACCCTACGTGTCCTTTCTGAAATCATTGACCACACACTTGAACCAGGACTAAAAAAGCAGAACATCAACCCTGAACAAAGCAGGCGATGTCGCTGGGGTCAGGGCCGACGCTTGGTGTGAAATCTCAGAGTGCTGGCGTCGTTCAGAGGTTAGAAGATCATTTTCCCGACTTTGCTGGGCATCTCAGTTTGTGTTTGGGGTCCGCTGCGACCGGCTCTACGATGTTGGGCAAGCCATTCGAACCCTCCGAATGTCAGTTTCCTCATGTGCAAGCTGGGCATGATATTATTTACCCCCGCTCCCCGCCCCCCCACCCCTGCCCCCACGTTGCGGTAGTAACGTGGAATCAGATGGGGTAATGCCTGTAAGGTGCTCTGCAAATCATGGAGAGATCTCCATCACTGTAACTCCCACACGGTCTGAAAGGTCTGCTTCTCCGATTTCTCAGTCACTTCTATCTGATTTTGTGTGGGGCTGGGAGGGGTTTGCTCTTCCCCCTGCCTGGAATGATTTAACCCAGATATCTGCATGGCTTGCCCTGTCACTGTCTTCAGATGTCTGCTCAGAAAGGCCTTCCCTCACCACCTCCTCCAAAATGTCCCCTCCCACCTCTCTCTCCCTCTAACCCGACTGGTTTTTCTTTATAGCCTTTATGATTCATTGATATATTACTTTTTTTTGTTTCTGTCTCTCCCCAGTAGAAGGTAAGCTCCATGAGGGCTGGGGCTATGTCTTTTTTCTTTTCCACCATTTCCCCCACGCCTGGAACAGTGTTGGTCCCGGGCAGGTGTCTAGTCAGGTAGAATACATGAGAAATTCTAAGTGTACTACAAGGAGACATATATGCCCACCAACATGATTAGTGAAATGTTATTTTTCCTAAAAGAAGCCTACATTTCATGAAAGAGGAGTCATTGAAACTGTCTTCAAAGATATTTGCCAAATAAACGGTGGGGTTGGGCAGACATGATAGTCCAAGCAGGGAGATGGGCCGGGACAAAGGCACAGACATACTTCATGGCCAGCAGGTGAGGGCAACTCTAGCACTTCGGGGTGGGTACAATGCAAAGAAAGGTGAAGGGGAGAGTGGTGGTGAAGGAGGTGGACAAAGCAGGCAAGAGCCAGATTCGAGAGGCCATTGGCTGGGGTTCCAAGGCGCATGGGCATCATCCTATAGGCCAAACGAGCCATGGCGGTGTTGAAGTGGGTTGGAACTCAGTCAGATGCACCCCAGCAAGAGCCCTCCCGCTCTGGCAGTGGTGTGGAGGGTGGTTTGCAGGAGGACAAGGCAGGGGACGGGGAGGCTGGTTGGGAGGCTTTTGCAATGGACCAGGGAATGATGCTCAGGACCTGGACACGGACAGAGAAGGAAAAGTTCTACCCGAGCTCTCAGAGTACTGTACCAGAAGAGGCTGGAGGACACCAAATGTCCTGACTCCTGGTCCAGTGCTCCATCTGTCCTGGCAGCCACGATAAGTCTGTGTCCATGTGAGAATAATAATAATTTCCTCTCGAGCCCTCCCTGGTTGTCAGGCACCATGCCAAGGCCTTACTTCCATCATCTCGATTCATCTTCTACTTTGAAGATGGGAAAAGTGAGGTCCACGTAGGCTAAGGAACGGACACAGGCCACACACATAATGAGTGACTGAGGCGGGATCTGGGCCCTGCAGTTTAAGCACAGAGACCACCCCCTCGCTGGTCACTGTCCCAGGCTGGGGTACAGCCACCTCAGTGATGTCCCTCTTCTCTCACCTCTTGTTCCTTTGGTCACCTGCAGGCATCAGCCACGGCTCGGTGGTAGCTGGCGTTATTGGCGCTAAGAAACCACAGTATGACATTTGGGGCAAAACCGTGAACCTGGCAAGTCGAATGGACAGCACAGGGGTCAGCGGCAGGATCCAAGTCCCCGAGGAGACCTATCTCATCCTGAAGGACCAGGGCTTTGCCTTTGACTACCGAGGGGAGATCTACGTGAAGGGCATCAGTGAACAGGAAGGAAAAATCAAAACGTACTTTCTGCTGGGAAGAGTCCAACCCAACCCATTCATCCTGCCCCCGAGAAGACTGCCCGGGCAGTACTCCTTGGCCGCGGTCGTCCTGGGCCTTGTCCAGTCCCTGAACAGGCAAAGGCAGAAGCAGCTCCTCAACGAGAACAACAACACGGGGATTATCAAGGGTCATTACAACCGGCGGACTTTGTTGACACCCAGCGGGCCAGAGCCTGGAGCCCAAGCCGAAGGCACCGATAAGTCCGATTTGCCATAAAAGCATTTTCTTTGTGTTTCTTTTTTTGTATTTCTTTTATATATAAAATAAATATACTAATAAAAAGGTTTAATTTTTTTTAGAACAAGGATGGTTCCGTTGGTCTTTGGCTATACTAACTGAAGATAGGGGTTGAGTTTCTCTTCCATCACAGACCTTTATTGACCACCTCTTATGTACAAGTTTCTTTGGGAAGCACAGATAAATAAGGTCCGGTCCCTGACCTTGAGAGGCTCACAGTTGAGTGTGAAAGAGGGACGTGTAAACAGACATTCAACACACCTGCCATTTATTGAGCTCCTGTGGTGTGCAGGGCCCAATACCCAACTCTTTACATAATGACCTCATGTAATCCCCACAGACCTTGTACGTCCCTTCAACCAGCATATATTGAGCACCTACAATGTGCCTCTGCTTTCCTAAGCTCCAGAGAAATCCTGGCAAAATCTTGCCCTCGTAGAGCTAGCATTCAGGGTGGGGATAATAGATCATATTCCTATAAACCAATACATAAATGGTCTACTTCCAGTTAGGGGTAGAGGCAATAAAGAAAATCGGGTAGGACAATGGGGATAAAGAATTGGGGGTCAGGGAGGCTACTGAGCTGGAATCCACAAAGAGAGCTTCTTTGAGGCCTTTGTGTTGAAGATTTGCTTTAAACGATGAGAAAGAAGCACCCTGGGAGAAAAGTGAAGGAGTCAGAAAGAATCGGAAAGGCCCAGAAGTGGGATCAAGCCCATGCGACCTGTTGGAGGAACAGTGACAAGGTCATGGGCTGGGACATGGTTACAGGTAGATTACACCCTATCCTGGGAAGACTGCATCCTACGCCCTCCTTCTCCCTTGACCTCAAAGACTCCCAGGAAAGTTTCGTGCAGGTGAGAGAGCTCAGAAAATTAAAGGATTTTTCCCAGATGGTGTAGTTAGTTGCCGAACTAGGATCAGAACTCTATCGGTCAGTCAACACTGACCGCTGTCACAGGTAACTCCCACTTGAGTGGCTAAAACACAAGATTTCTCTCATTCACATCCTGTTGGACAAGTCGGGGCGGGGGGGCCTCCATGCCATGATTTCAGGACTTACCCTCCTGCCACTGGGGACGTAGAGTGCTCTGCTTGATCCTCTATGTCCAGCCAGCTGAAAAGACAAGAAGGAAGGGGCATCGCTCAGAAGGTCTTAGGCACCCAGCCTGGAGGTGGCTAAGTCACTGGCCCCACTCACCACAGGAGATGTTAGGAAAAGGGCTCTTCCTGTGTCCACTACTAAGAGGAAAAATGTAGTGAGAGGCATTATCTCTTCCATAAGAATCTACACTCGTGTAAGTCCATCTTTGCAAACACTGAGCTATTCTGGTAAGTTCTGTGTTAGAGGAATGTACGAGGTTGAAGTAATGGAAGGAGAAGTATGAAATCCCAACCATTCTCTAAATTCTTGATTCTTAACAGCAGGCCATTTAGAAGAAACTTAGGTCCAGTGGACACGCTCTGAGGAAAATACCTACCTGATGTATCTCAGGTGAGAACCGCCCCTGGCAGAAGAGAGACTATGGTATCCACAGAAGCACAAAGCAGGGGAGTGGGGAAAGGGGCTTGAACACAGAGCCATGTTTGGAATGACCTTTGCTCTCAGAAACTATACAGGTATCAAAGAAATACACGAGGTCCCAACGGAGTGAGAAGAGGGTATCAGGTGAAAACCTTTGTCAACTGTAAAGCCTTCCAAACACCAGGCTTCATTATTACCTCTGCAGACCGAGACAGCCTCCAGGTTTATTCAGCGCAAGCTGCTGAGGACATTTAAACAAAGTCAAGCTCAGTGCGTGCTGAGACTTGGAACCACAGGAAAGAGGGGGGAAGCTGAGCTCAGCTGGGCCGGGGACTCGGCAAACATCCCAGCAATGAGTCCAGCCTCAGTGATAGCCATCAGACTCTGACAGCACAGCATCCCAAAGACAGAGGAAACTTGATGTGGGCCATCAAACTTTGGTCTGATCCACAGCGCAGGGTCCTTCTGGAATCTATGGGCTGTGTTCAGCAGAGGCCCCAGGAAGCAGACAGGCTGTGGGGAGGTGGATTCAGCCCCAGGGAGAGAGTTTACCAAGCACAGACATTATCCCTAAACTCTGAGCTAGGACTTAGGACAGAGTTCCTGGACTAGAAGCAGAATATGGTCCTAAGCAAGATAACTGGGAAGAAACCAAGGTGGGAAGCATCGGGCCAGCCCCAGGCTTGTGGATGCTGCCAATTTGGGGGTGATGGTGGGGCTGCTGCTGTCAAGCTTCACCCAGAACCTGCCCCTGGCTCAGTGATGACAAGGCCTGAAGTGAAACAGATGGAGGTGACGGGGACCCCATCCTGAGTCTGGGAGGTGTGGCTTCCTTCCGGGCTCTCTCAAACACAGGGGCAAGGGGGCAAGATGGTGCCGAGAATCTTCACTGGATCATCAAGAACCCTGCCAGGTGGGCATCTGGCCATCTGCTCTTATACAGCCCCAAAACACTGAGTCCCTGCCCCTGGGTCAGCCCATTCCTTGGTACCCAGTCTTTCCATAAAGGGTAAAGCGCAAGAGACAGAGCCAGGAAGCTGGCCTGTGGTTGACGAGCTACTAGGAATCATGCCTCTTCTTGGGCCTTGTATAAGGCTGGAGGGGGCGGTGAAGAAAGGCAGTCCTCCTGACATTAGAGATAATGTTTTCTGTTTGCCTACGTCTTGGTCTGTTCGTCTCATTTATTAAAAGAACTTCAAATGTCATGTGATTTCTAGGAACCTGGTACAACTCAGAAACAAACCTGGCATAATATTCCAGCCAGGGACTCCAACCTCATGTTTTCCCCACTGATTTCTGCTTGTGAAATTTTAGGTTTGATCTTATCAATGCCAAGTGTAAACTCTGGCAGAGGGAACATACAAAGAGAAACACCGAATAGGAACTGCTCAGTCTCCATATGTTCAGGCCCAATAGAGGGACTTTCTCAATAGCTCTGTATTCTTGACAGTTTTGACATCTGGGTGCTGATTCCGGTTGCCCCCACCTGCGTTCTTCAGCCTGTGTGAGCGATGCACGGCTTCCCATGAGATGAGTACAGTCCCTCTTAGAGAAGAGGTAAGGCATTGCTCCAAGGGCTGGGTCTGAGGACCTGCTGCCTCCCATTCTGCCCTCCCATAAAGTCAGGCGGATGACCTGGAACTCAGAAACGCCCCACACCAGCTCCACTGCGTCCCCTCCTTCTTAAGAACCATGTGAGTGTAGCTGCTCTCGGTTGGAAGTTAGGACTGTGTTATCATCACCATTTCACAGATGAAGAAGCTGAGGCTCAGAGATCTGAGCAACACTCCTGGTAAGGTCTTAGAACTGGAAAATAGGGGCGGTAGCTTTCAAATCCAGGAGCTCTCGTTCCAGAGTCCTGCCCTGAAGCACCACTTCCCAGCCTTTTGGTGGGTACATTATATTCATTAAATGAGAGGCCAACAGCCTGCAGGCTAAAAAGACGGGTGAACCAGGGCAGAACTCTGGAACGGCAGTGGGCAGAACAGCCCGGCATCACTGGCCCTGATCCTAAACAGCCTCCCCAACTCCCCCCTAGGAGGTAAGACAGCATCTCACTCTCTCTGTGGGGTGTGATGTGGAAAAGGTCCCGACACGCTGGGTTGAGAGTTCTGAGCTCAGTTCCTCAAGGTGCGCAGACCATGGTTCGAATCCCCTACTTGTCAGTGGTTCAGTGCTGGGTCAGTAGCATAAACTGTGCACCAAAATTCTTCATATGCCACATGGGGATAGTCATGGAAGCCACTGTGTAGAATTTTGAAGTTCTCAGATTTGAGATCTATGGTTAAAATATCACATACTAGAGAACATCCCCAAAGGGGTCTGAGGCAATGCTCAGTAATTAAATATGTTAATAAAAATGTTCTCACAATACACGAATATTCACACCAAGTGGCATAACTAGAGTCTGTAAATAGGACTAATTTCAGGGCATGTTTTGCCCCCAAATTCGTTATAAAACAAACGTCAGCTTTTAGAGCATTGTGGAATTTGAAGTGTCGATAAACAATTGTCCACCCACAACGCCTCACAAGGCTGCCGTGTGGATGACAAGCAACAATGTGTCTCATCACCCAGCAGCTTGGCCCTCTGCCCCACCCAACATAGCTTGTTGCTATTATTACACAGGACAGCTTTTCGGAAATAATGGGCATTTGTCCTTTGCCTTTATCTTTAAATCTTGGTTATTTGTCCACATTTACAAAATTTGCTTTAAGGAGTATATGTTACTTTAACCATGAAAAAATGGATAATTCAGCAAAAGTAAAGCATGTGGATTGCCTTAAAGGCATGCAAAGGATTTCACTGGACCCTTGGAGATTGCACCCTGAACCAGAGGGTCTGGACCACTCCCAGGATGGAGGTGGACACCTCGCAGAGGGGGCCGGCACAACATGGTGCATGGCGCTCCCCATCCCCCACCCCCTGAGGCAGAATTTTCCCAGCGATGCAGTCACCACTGCTGACCCAGATTTCAAGGCTCCCCTTTTGGATGCAGTAAGAGAAGGGGTGTCGGAGACTCATTTCCTCCCCTGACATTTTTATTCCAGAACCGCAGGCTTTTCTGACGCTCTGGTTCCTGTGCCAACGAGCATTTCCAAGTGAGAATGTTGTTCTCAGATGAGCTGTGGGCTCCAAACAACTGAACCAAATATTTTATTGATAAGTTACCAGGGGGGCAGGGTGCCCTGCAGAATAGGGCCCTGTGCCTATTTGAATTATTAATTGCATATCAGCCACACACCTCCCACCACCATCCTGCCCCTCCGGCCCCAGGAAGATAATATCGCCATTCTGATAAGCAATCTGAGTCTACTCCATGCACCTGTCTTTTCCTTTTAGAAAAACAGACAGCTCGACTCGAGTGCAATCAGCTTCTGCTTGGAAATAATTTCAAATATAGTTCTTTCATAATACACTGACTCCTATCTTGACATGATTATAACAATAATGGTAATGAGAACCATTTTCAGAGTGCTTTACAGTTTGTAAAGCCCATTTCTAAAAATGATTTCAGTTGATCTTCATAACAACTGTCGGGG